CTATCTATTGAATTGCTGCCTAAGTTCATGATTTCTTTTTTCAAACAAAATGAGAAAAATTAAGGCGTTGTAGCGCTTGAAAGAAGAATTTTCGTTTTGTAAGAATGTCCGCGCAGATTTCTCGTGCAGTTCTGTTTTGTTGAATTTATAAGAATGAAATTTTAAAAAGAAGCATGACACTTCCGAAATTTCAACATTCTGGATTTAGCTGAGACTTTACTTATGCGACCAGATTATTACTTGACAAGTTATTACAAAAAAACAACGTTCTTTAATATGGGGTCTTAGGATTATGATGGGGTTGAGGATGGTCTAAGTCAGGCTTTTCCAAATCCTCAAGAAGAGTTGTTTGAGCGCAGAAATCAAACTCTATCGTAACGCAGAAAGTTGCGATCGGTCAATGATTAAATATAAGTACAATTTGTGACAAGCAAAAGAAAGGTTCCTTTATGCTTCTGATATTTTTCCAGTGACTGCTATGTTAGTAAATTTCAAACAACCCTTGGCTATAGATACGCTGCCTTGTAAAGCGAACAATTTCCTTTCGAGGTTAACTCTCTTTGAATCAAAAAAGACGGCATGAACTTATCCAAAAACTCGTTGCATCTATAATTTTGCTCTACATCTTTTTTTAACAGGTACTTTTTTCTCATAACATTAAGGAACTTCTTTTGTTTATTCTCCTTATACTTTCTTGATCTATAGGTGGTCGAAAAACATCACTCACCTTTCCGACATCATAGAATACGTATGCAGTTCCGACAAACTCAATTTCTTCTAAGGACATGGCAGCTTTCAAACGAGTTGCCTCAAGTGAAGTAGTAAGAGGGTTTTTGGCTTCAGCGTATAACTGAAAACATAACTGCGTGTAGAAAGAGTAGCTCTAAAATGAAAAGTTCTGCAATCTAATTCCTCTGCCCAGCATTACAGTAAGCTTTTTTGACAACAATAATATACTGGAAATCAATTATGACTAAAGCTACTTTAAAGAATCGGATGAGCAAA